TCTTATAATTATTTTAATTTAACCGTCGAACCGAGCCTCCGGTCGAACCCCGCGAGCCACGCCCGAAGGCCGCGCCCAGCCTGACCTAGCTACCGCCCCTCCCTCTCTTTTTCTTCTTTGTTTGGTAAGTGGATCAATTTGAAGCCTTTCCTTTTTCCCTCCTTGTGAGGTTTATGGTAAGTGCTTAATCTTGGAGACTTACCATACCTTAAGGAGCCTATATGAGGAAGAGATTGGGACTCCCTCCTTACGTCAAATTTTTCCCCAGCATATTTTTTTCTCCTCTTCTCCCTTCTCCCTCGATCTCTCCCCTTTTTTTTTTTCGTTTCGTTCGCTTTCATCACCGCCCTCCGCCGCGTGCACCATCGCCGTCCCGGGCCAGCACCATTGCCATCACCCGTTCGTGAGTCGCGGATCGTGCACCCCTTGGCGTCCAACGTCCCTCGCGAGGCCAGCAAGCACGCCCAGCGTCGCCGCGAAGCCCGCCAGCGCCCAGTAGACGTCCGCAGGCCTTCCCCCGCGTGCCCGCGACCATCCTCAGCCCCGTTCGAACCTCCTTCCGTGCAATTTCCCCGAGAACGGTACAAGGCTGATAATCCTTTATTATTTTCAGTATATATATGCTATGTGATGAGCCTTGTTGGGAAATTTCATGTTAGGGTTTGATAAGTGGCTATTTAATCTCGTGATTTATTCGTTAATTGTATTTAAATGTGAATTTTGCTTAAATCGTGATTAGGGCTGTGGATTATTGGAACATTTGAAGTCCTTGGCCTCATGGTTCAGGCCTTGGACGTTTTAGATGAATATGTGATCATTGATGTGTTGTTGAATCGGGTATTGCTGCTGATTCTTATAAAAATCATATAAAATTATGTGCTCGTCCGATTGCTCTGAAATTTGAACTGTAGAGTCCTCTATTGGTATATTATGTGTTGTGAAAGTTTCATGCCGAAATGAGATCTGTAGCTATGTCAAATGTGGATTTGAAATTATGGGCAGAAACTTTGAAAAATCATTAAAAATCATATTCTTGGAATTTTGCTGTGATTTTTTGTGAGTGTTAGTAATTTGAAATGTGTGTGTTGTGTCCAAATTTCGTTGAAAAATTCAAAGGATTGCTCGGTGAACTAGAAAATTCAGATTTTCATCGCCTTTTCGTAAAAATTGGTTATTTATGTTAAACTGATGAGTTAAGTCTGAAATCTTGTAAAAACGTGCCTTTCTGGGTCTATTTTAATGTGTTAAATTTTCAAGTAAATCGGTCCAGTAAATTTTGAAATCGGTCGGTCCTATTTGAAACCCTGCTTGTCTGTCGGGCCCTGTGCACTGCTGCCAGCGCACGCCAGCGCCCGCCGGCGCACGCCAGCGTCTGCACAGTGTGATGAAGACCGTGTGTCTCGATTACCGACAAGCCGCTCCCGCGCCTTAAATCGTTCGATAGGTGTTAGGAAGTCGCACACTCGCAGCCTTTCTAACGAATAAAGTTGCAAAAGAATTCAAGAAGAAAACTAGAGCAAAGAGTTTAAACAAAAGTTTGGATTTTTGTATTGATTTCTGAATGATTAAATTAACAAGAGGAAGGGCCTTTATATAGGCATCAACTAGATCTAGTCCTAATATAACTATAACTCTAATAAAGCAATAAAATATTAAGTATCCTAAACAAACTAGAAAACAAGGAAATAAAATATTAATCAAGCTATTTAATTTATTTCTTGCTTGCGCCCCAAACCGCCTTGCCCGCGTCCGCGTTGCCTAATCGCCCAAGGACTATGACTTCATGTTCCATTCCCGCGCACGCGTCCAGCAGCTCGCCTAATCCTTGCGCACCTAGGCAAGTTCGCGCGTGTACCCCGTCGCCTGCGCGTTCAACCCTGCGCTCGTCCCCGACAGTATCGCGCGCGTGTCCGTCCACGTATCGTGCCTCTCCAGCACGATGACTTAGCCTCCTTCGTGCATGCCACGCACGACTCGCCGCGTTCTTAAGACTTTTCGCTGTGTCCGCATCATTCCCGTCCCCTTCAAGTGCTTCCTTGTCCTCAGTAAGAAGTCGGGGAACATCTCGTGCATCTCGTCCCAACTCTGCCAAGTTGCTTCCTCGCTCGGTAAATCCTCCCATTCGACGAGCACTTCCCAAAAATATTTTCCAGCCTTTTTGACTTGTCGGTACTCTACCGCACGGCTCGGCCGCACCATAACCTGCCCGTCCGGCGCGACCGCGGGTAGTCGATCCTTTGCCGCATGCACTTCGCTGAGTCGTTGCTTGAGTTGCGAGACGTGTATGACTGGATGAATATGGGAATCGTCCAGCAACTCGAGTCGATAAGCAACCTTCCCAACCTTGGCCAAAATTTTATAAGGCCCGTATATCGAACTCCGAGCTTGGTCGCGGCCCGTTGCGCGGCCGTCCTTTGCCGAAACAGCCTCAACTTCAAATACACCCAGTCCGCGGGCTCGAACTCCACGTCACGCCGCTTGCCATCATGGTACGCCTTTATCCTATTGATCGAGCCTTCCAACGTCCGCTTTAGCTCGCGCAACATCAAGTCACGCTCGACCAACTCTCGATCGACCTCATCGTTCACGGCGCTTCCCATTGAGTAACTCACGATCGTTGGTGGTTTGCGCCCGTACACCAACTCGAACGGCGTTGCCTTAGTCGAGCTATGGTAAGTGGTGTTATACCAATACTCGGCCCAAGGTAAATAATTCTCCCATCGCTTCGGAAATTGACGCACATAGCACCTAAGGTACTGCTCAAGCGTGCGATTGGTCACCTATGTCTGTCCGTCGGTTTGTGGATGATAAGCTGAGCTCATGCTTAGCTTGGTTCCCTGCAATTTAAAGAACTCCGACCAAAAACTACTCATAAATATCCGATCCCAGTCGGACACAATCGACCGTGGTACCCCATGCAACTTCATCACATATTCAACAAACAATTTTGCTATAGACTTAGCCGTGTAGGGATGAGTAAGTGGAATAAAATGCGCATACTTGGTAAGGCGGTCGACTACCACCATGACTCCATTGAACCCATTCGAGAGTGGCAACCGCTCGATAAAATCCATGGTGATGTCCTCCCAAATTCGTGTGGGAACCGGCAAAGGTTGGAGCAGCCCGCCTGGTCGATGCGCGTCCGCCTTAGTGCGTTGGCACTCATCACATCGCCCAACGTAGTCGCGCACGTCACTCCTCAGCCCCGACCAATAAAAAGTGCTTGCAATTCTCATCCACGTCCGGAACACTCCTGAGTGTCCTCCAAACTTCGAGTCGTGGAAGTGCCGGATGATGTCCTCGCGCAACGATCCCGCCTCGGGCACGACGACTCGCCCATGATAAAGGAGCAAGCCATCGTGCATGTCATGGTCCTCGTCCTTGTCGCGTCCCTCGTTCAGTTTCTCGACCACGTCCTGACAATGCGCATCCTCGTCTTGCGCCTTCCGAAGCTCTGTCCAAACGGCCCACGTCGGCCCCGTTACTGCGTCGAGCTCGGCCAACGTCTTTCCGGCGAGACAATGCGTTGGCCATGGTGTTCTGGCGACCGGGCCGATACACTATCTCGAAGTCGAATCCCATCAACTTGGACACGAACTTTTGCTGCTCGGGCGTCACGATCCTTTGCTCGAGCAAGTGCTTGAGCGGTTGCTAGTCTGTGACAATCCGAAAGCGTCGCCCCAACAAGTACGGCCTCCACACGTGCACGGCCTCGACCACGGCCAGCATCTCCTTCACGTACGCAGACAACCCTAAGCGCACCGGCCCGAGAGCCTTGCTGAGATAAGCCAAGGGCCGTCCTTCCTGTACAAGAACCACCCCGATCCCAATGTCGCTCGCATCCGAGTGGATCTCGAACAATACATCAAACCTCGGCATCGCAAGAACGAGTGTGGTCGTCATGGCCTCCTTCAGCTTCTCGAAAACCTCTCGCTCGCCTCCGTCCACTTGAATGCTCCCTTCTTCGTCATCTCCGTGAGTGGCTTTGCGATGGTCCCGTAGTATTTTATGAATTTCCGATAGTAGCCCGTGAGACCAAGGAACCCTCGCAACTGCGTCAAGCTTGTGGGTTTCGGCCATCCCACCATCGCTTCAATCTTCCTTGGATCCACCTTGACACCATCATGAGAGATAAAGTGCCCAAGGTACTCGACCACCTCTTGAGCAAACGAGCACTTGGACGGCTTGATATAAAATGAGTTAGCCGCCAAAATCTTCAAAACAACTCGCAAGTGCTCGAGATGATCTGTCCATGTTTTTGAGTCCACCAAAATGTCATCAAAGAATACTAACACAAACTTACGAAGGTACTCCTTGAAGATTGAATTCATCGCAAACTGAAATGTCGACGGCACATTGCACAAACCAAAAGGCATCACGAGATATTCGTAGTGCCCTTGGTGCGTGCGAAAAGCAGTCTTGGGCACGTCCTCCTTGGCCAACCTGATCTAATGGTAGTCCGCGCGTAGGTCGAGCTTAGAGAAGTAACGCGCGCCACCCAACTCGTCCAACATGTCTTCGACGCTCGGAATGGGAAAGCGATCCTTCACAGTAGCCGCATTGAGAGCGCGGTAGTCCGTGCAGAACCGCCAAGTTCCGTCCTTCTTCTTTGCGAGCAACACCGGTGACGAGAACGGACTCGAGCTATGCTGGATGAGCCCGGACTCGAGCATCTCGCCCACCTGCCGCTCGATCTCCGTCTTTTGGAAGTGTGCGTATTGATACGGATAGACATGCACTGCTCGACCTTCCTCGACCAGGGGTATGCGGTGGTCGAACTCTCGGTGTGGCGGCAGTCCCTTGGGCTCGTCGAGGACCTGGTCGAACTCCTTGAGCAAGTCACGCACCTCGCGCTGCCTCTCCTCGACCACTTGGTTGAACTCCTCGCGTACCATGAGCTGCCTCTCCTCGACCACTGGGTCAAACTCCTCGACCACCTCCGCGTCCTTGCCTGTTTGCTCGACCACGACAGCGTACAACTGTCCGCCACCTCGCCACACCTTTTCGATGTTTTTTAGACCAACCTCCTTGGTTGCTCCTTCACTAGCTTTCAAGGTAACGAGCTGGTCCCCGGCCTCGAACTTCATCACACCCTTCCGGTAATTAGTCGTCATATCTCCTAGTCCCTCGAGCCACTGCACCCCAAGCACCACGTCCGGTCCTACCAAAGGTAAGGCAAACAAGTCCGCCTTCAAGGTCACTCCTTGAAACTTGATCGGTATGCCCCGGTACATCTCCGAGCACCGCAAGCGCTCGCCATTCGCCACCCTAACCTCGAACGGCTCAATCGTGGTCGTGGGCAACTTGAGTTTGTGCGAGAGAGTCGCATTAATGAAATTGTGCGACGACCCATTGTCCACAAGTACCGTAAACCGCCGATCCTTCAACCACGCCGGTAACTTCATAGTCCTCGGGCCTTTAGTGCCCGCCATCGCATGGACTGAGATCTCGGCCACGTCATTGAGCACCTCGACCTCCCTTTCTTCCTTGGTCACCGGCTCTTCGTCATCCGAGTCCACGAACTCGATCAAGTAATTCTGTTTGCACCAATGTCCCGGCGTGTACTTTTCTTCGCACCGGAAACACAGCCGTTTCTCACGTCTCCGCGCCATCTCCTTCTTCGTCAACCTCTTTACCTCAGTTGCTGGGGGTCTAAATGTGCCCGGAGGCCTTGCGTTCGCACTAGGTGTGCCCACGGTCGCCGGCACACGCCGCGGCTCCGGGACACGAAAATCTGCCCGTCCCCTTCGAGTCGCGGCCAAGTGATCCCCCCGTCTCCTAGCAACTTCCATGGCCTTATGCATGGTCTCCGCCCTCTCCAATCGCACTTCAGCCGCGAGATCATACCTAAGCCCTCCAACAAACGCGCCAACAAGCGCGCTCTCTGGCCACCCGCGAACCCGGCATGCCAATCTCTCGAACTCTTTTTGGTAGTCACGTACACTCCCCGTCTGCCGGATCCGAGTTAGGGCCTCGTGTTTGTTATGTTTTTGTGCTAATTTTTATGTGTTTATTTGCGTGTTCGAGTCGATTTTAGGTTCGTTTTAGCGTTGTCCGTTCCATTTCGGCGTTTATCGTGTGTTTTGATGTTTTATTGTTTGTTTCATATTTCGGCGTACTTTTCCCGTACTTTTGCTATGAATTTTAGGTTTATTCCGGGATAGAGATGGAGAGTCGAGCCATGTTCCAAGAGAGTCGAGTCACGTTCCGAGAAATGAGCATTACCCGAAGAAATCGAGCTTCCGAATAGTTTCAAGCCATTTCATGCGAAGATTTTCGAACCGAGAGTGAACCACCATT